TACACTCGTTTGACTAACTTTATAGACTGGATTATGAGCCAAATTATCAATTAGTAGTCATTGAAAAATTGCCTATTAGAGAAACGTGGAAAAATATCTTTACCAACTTCATAAAACGTTGATATATTCTGTATAAATAACGCTAAAGAAAGTGTAGAATAAAGAGACACAATGATATTCGTTTGTAAGCCATGTCATTGATCTCGCTTCATAAGTCTAGGAATTGTCAATGAGAGAGACTAATTCGGTAAAAAATCAAAACAAAATTAAACCACTTTTAAACATGTGTAAAATAAATGAAACCACTATATTAATCAACTCTACTCAACTTATCAGTGGCACACAGCTGCCATTTTGTTTTAATGAGAACCTTTCAACAAATATTTTTTCTCTTATAAAAATGGGTACATTATCAAACATTTTTCTATTTATTTTGTTTTGTTGTATAATTCCCTCTGCATTTTATGCCATGTCTTGAAGGCCATCAGAGGAATCTTACAAGAAAACAGTTTAGATGCCTATAAATCTATCATTTCCTTATCCAAAGTGTGTTTATATCAAATTGTTAACTGCATTGCCGGGCATATCATAGTCTTGTTGATAGCTCTCCTATATATGAATTAAGTGCTCAAAGTTCATGAACTACATTTCTTTTCATCGGCAATAGCTGTGGAAGAAAGAAAAATTGAACAATCAGTTCACAAGTTACAAAAATGAAACTTTATAAACTTCAGACATCAGTGCAGAGATGATTACAGGATATTTAAGATCATAGCAAGTTAGGAAAACCATTAGGATCACTCTGCTTTTCTAWTTTTTTTTCTATGTATAGTTCTGTCCAGATTAGCAAATAGCATAGGGGARTACTCRCCTTTTGCATCWGGTAAKGGGTTCTTCTCCTGGGTCTCAACATGCTTCAGTTTTGAGGTGTCGAAAGTCTTTACTTCAGCTCTGGTCTCAATTGCTTCAGTYTTGATATCTAAGATGATTTGTAAATTAAATTACAGTTATTAGTTTCTATAATAATTAGAAGTACTTATATGACATCACTTACCATCTTTTGATGGAAGGACTACCTTTTCACTTGTTTCCACATGCTTTAGCTTAGAGTGGTCAAACCCRGAAACCTCAGACCTATCAGGTTTTTCATCCGGCATTATTTCTTGTCTAAGTGCTTAAATTACATAAAGTGTAAAAATCACTCACATGATAAACAGCATCATTTAAGAAAGACAATAACGTGAGGAAAGAAGAAAGTCTTGCAATGGAAGGAAGGAGGCAGAGAAAGGCACATGAACATGAAGAAAGAAGGCAAAAAAGGCAGACATACTTTGTGCCGTTGGTAGTGGGTTCTTTTCCTCAGTGTGAACATGCTTCAGTTTTGAGGTGTCGAATGTCTTTACTTCAGCTCTGGTCTCAATTGCTTCAGCTTTGATATCTGTACAATAGAAAGAAAATTTTAGGTTATGACGCATACACACATATGGGCATCAGTACATGTGAAACATTTAAAAATAACATTAACAATCCCCATCAGCCACAAAAATCCACATCATCAGAAAAAACAAACAAACAAACAAAAAAATACACATAACAGAAAAGAAACAGTCTTTTTTTGGTAAAGTATTGTTCACTTACCATCACTGGAAGGAAGGATGGTCTTTTCAGTAATAATAACATGCTTGAGCTTGGAGTGGTCAAACTCAGAAACTTCTGAACGGTCTGGTTTATTTTTAGGCATCATTTCTTGTCTTAGTGCTAAAAATATAATAAAAATTGCTAAACAATGGAGGAAAGAAATTCTTTGTTAGGATAGAAGGAAGGAAGAMAGGAAATACAAAAATGGCTTTGAAACAACAGACCACCAAGGAAAAAGCAGAAAGCATACTTTGTGCAGTTGGCAGTGGGTTCTTTTCTTGCGTTTCTACATGTTTAAGTTTTGAATGATCAAATGCCTTCACTTCTGCTCTTGAATCAATAGACTCTTCCTTGATAACTACAACAACAATAACAATTCATGGATAATTACAAAACCTGGCCACATACACATGCAACAACATGAARAACAAAYAAGTAGCCACCAAATTATTTATCATCTCACAATAAATGGATTGTTACTATGCTAYAATGGYYTTCCTTGAGTTCAAAGATGACAATATACCAGTACCTTYTTTGGTTGGCATGACATTTTTCTCTTTGGTTTCAACATGTTTCAGTTTACTGGTATCAAATTTTGCTACTTCAGATCTATCTGGTAAGCTGTCAGGCATCATTTCTGCACGGATATCTGAAATGTGGAAACTGTTCAGAAARTATTGCCACTAAAAACTGGAAGAGTTTGGAAATAAGGYAAACTGTGGCTAATGTGACTTTATAATATTCTTTTCCATGGCAATTGTTAAGAGTCAGGCAAGTGTGAGTGCTAATTCTGTTGTAATCTCCAGTAGAACAGAATCTTTCCGTATCACAGTTGTCCAGATAGCAGTGTGCTAGCTATGTAACAGGAAATGCACAMTTTACTCCAATATTTTGAATTGACTTTGAAATGGATATAACAGCTGTCATACACTGAACATAAGTTCCTATATATAACCAAATTACAGACTACTTCATTATCATTTCATTCACTGTTTCATTTTTGTCAAGTATTGTGATAATCTAACTACCTGTCATTGTAAAAGAGACTTATAGCTCCAACTGTCTCTCACAACCAGACTTGATACAAAGGATCATACTCATAACACCGAAACAACTGCATAGTTTAGCCTAAAGATTGCCTACAGACAAAATATATTTGCCTTGTCCTGCCTGCTTTCCAATGTGTGATGATATTCTTAAGCAATTATGAAGTAATATGTTGAAACATGTTTGCATATTGATGAAAATAAAACAGACTTGGAAGAGSACTTCAACAGACCATGATAAAATATTTTAATCAATATATTGTCATTATTTCTAAAAATCGGTTCACAGAAAAGGGTGTACCAAATGATCAGCCATACCAAAATTAATATTATAAATTCAAATTACATTATAATGCCTTTGTCAATTTTTTCTAATATATAAAATACATATTTGATATTGGCTATCGCTTTTTATTTGCATAACACAAGCTAGACTGCTTTTAATCTGGATCCTTCTTGGTRTGTGGTTAGTGAAATAATTACATTTTGTGTGGCTATCCAATATCACTGACCCAAAACATTTACACGCTGTTATATATCTCACGGAATATTTAGAWTCAATGCTCTGTATTTTTGTTAATTGTTAGCATTAATGGTATACAAATTTGGATAAAATGGTGCTAAGACAACACAGTTTACTTTCAATCTAATGAAGATAGGATAAACTCAAATGCCATTGGACTGTCTAGACTTTGAAGTTATGTTGCAGGAGAATGCTTTGAATTCTGGATATGTAGTCCATTATTTGTGTATAGCCATTTGACGAATACATTAACGCACTGTATCATATTATATATGTGGTCCAATGATCACTATGATGTCCAAGCAATGATCATGTTTCACTATAAAATGTTTTCACTATTGAAAATCCCATTGTGAACTTTCAACTTGTGTTCAAACTCTTGATTGCTATCATTTGATCCCATTATATTATTATATCTTGACCATACTTGTTTCTGACGATAGGTATCTTATTTTATGCACTTTTGGATATGCTTAATGATTACAATTTTGCTTTCTAAAAATATTTTAGATTTATAAGCCTAATGATTTACAATTATGAGCCAAAAAATACCGTGATTTGCTTACTGTTTAAGATCATCGTACAACAACACATATGGAAGATGTATCCAAATCAAATTTTTGTCCATCAAAAACTTTTGCTGGTCTCAAATTAAGCATTCTTGAGAAACAAACAGCAATTATGATAACAATTACTGCATATTGGTCGGYAATAAAAACCTTATCCATGCTCAATTAATTATATTCTCTGAGACACAAGCATACACCCTGGAAATATTTGGACGCTAGTTGTATGCAAATAAAATTAACTTGTGGCATGCAACTTCTCTGGATTTGAGGGGGGGTACAATTTCAAATAAACCCTGATTTCTATGAGACAAATTCGTGAAGGTGCTTGAATAATTTTAGAAACAAGCACTTATACATATATGTAAATCAACTTTTTTGCCCTGAAAACGACTTAAATATTTTTGACCCTAATGACGTAAGAATTGATTATTGTCAAGTATTAACAACATATGTATTTCATTTCTTTCTTTTTTATGAAAGACGCTTTGACGGTAGCTTAACTTTAACCGTTAGAGAATATGAAACATTTTGACGGAAATAACTRAAGTAGAGCTTTCATGCTGTGACCATGGTGGCGGGGTGATTGCATTTGTCATTCCATCCAATTGCGCAAATATAATAACTAACCACATCTGAATCTTGAAAATTGCTAACTGTAAATTCAGATATAATTCAAAGCAATTCTATATGGAAGTTTACTCTGTCCATTATTAATGAATAAGCTTGCCTAGCTTGTCGCGAAAGCAATAAAAACTTATTGTATCCAAATTAACTTTCGCTTATATATGCAGCAGGAAGAAAGACCCTGTATTTAAGTTACTATTGTTTTTATTATTGCAAACAGCCTCTTGAGAATATTTTTTTCTTCTCATCACAGCTGACATACTCAACACTTACTTTGGGCATCTGGCAATGGGTTCTTTTCTTCTGTGTGCACATGCTTTAGCTGKCCCTTCTGAAAGACTTCGACTTCCGAAAATGGCGCAGTTCGCTTCTCGTCTTGGATTACTATGCAGGAAACAAAACAGAAAGTTTGACGCGTGACCCGCAAACACAAAGAATAATGAAAAGCTAAAGAATTTCTAAGCAGTACAAAGCTATTGGAGCAAGTTCTTTTGAACAAGTTTCAAAATAAATATGAATATTTTATAGTGTACCTTCCTTCGTTGGAACAGGGTTTTTTTCTTGGGTTTCAACATGCTTCAACTTGGCATGATCGAAGTTTTTCACTTCAGATCTATCAGGAAACTCGTCAGGCTGCAGTTCTTGTTTAATTGCTATTAATCGAAATAAATATATGGTATGATTTTGGGTTCAACTAGAATATAATCTACATATCATAGGCGTAATCGACCGTGCTGCAGTTTAGCAAACACATTGCTTCACGAAATGCACTAAAATGATTTAAAAATTATCCATAAAATACAAGAAACATCATTTCGAGCTTAATAAGTCGCTTATATAATAAATCCTTTAGTAAAATAAAGTTTGAAGATATATTYATAAACCGTGTTTTAAGAATTTCGAACTTTCAATCTCCTCCCCTCTGAAGTCATTCAAAATTTGGTTTCAAAACTTACTTTCATCAGAAGGCAAGGTATTCTTTTCCTTGGTCACAACATGTTTCAGCTTAGATGAGTCAAACTCAGAAACCTGTGAGACGTCGGGCTTTTTGTCAGCCATTTCTGCACGATATGACAAATATAGTCTTGCAAGGAAACGAGAAGGTTAGAAATGTACCTCTAAAAGCCACGCCGATCAGCAGTGTGACCACTGAGCCCGCCCCCAAAGAAGAGGCTGGACACTACCATATAAGGCTCGGGAGAAAGCGAATACGAAATTTTGTTTGTCTAATCATATTTGACTAATTTTGGTATTTCAGATGGGACGCAAAATATGCTTGATTTGAAGGAAAAATTGTAGTAAAAATATTGAAATTACTAATAAACTCGAAATCAGTTACAASTTTTTTCGGGATTGTCTGATTAATATGCACGTTTCCCATATTGTATAAAATAAGAAGAGACGAAATTCTTCACATTAATCATTACATAAGGAGYTTACTGCATAGGAAAAACAATCTACTTAAATTTATGCCGAAGTTCAATGGAATTTAAAATCAATTTGTGTTTTTTGAACAGAGTAGTTTTGATCATCAAAAGAAAAGATGTTTATATTCAATAGTGTTACCAAACTGAGATTGCGTGACAATGTCAGCYCATCAATCGAAAAACCGCTAAAATTACGTTTAATTTCATTGGTTTGATTTCAACATGTTTCAATTTCAACCACAAGACTTTATTTAACCTTGTTAGATATCGTTTTTTGAAACCTTTTAAATCATGTGATAGTAGCTCAATGATAAACAACGATTATGATAATCTCAATATATTAATTAATAATGATATAATATATAACAATATGAACTGAAAACGTTTCTTAAAAAATATCAAATAGCAGATACAAAAGAATAAAATATCAGTAGCCAATGGATAAACTGTGATGAAATATCCATTGAAAACCAWCCATGTGGCCTATAACCAACTTGTGAATTTGGCCTCACACACAAAGGAATCAAGACAAGTTGCCATGCATGAAGCTCAGTCATTCGTGAAAAGACAAGTTTTTCATAATTGATTCTTTTGTGTTTGATGACCAATATGAAATTTGCAAATCAACTAATGAAAGATTATTTTGATCATGTTGCATTGAATGTTGTTATGAGAGCAATRTGTTTAGGATAAAAAAAATTCAAAAATCAAGATGTCACATGATCAAAATGATTGATATCTGTGGGTTGTTGACTATAGGCACTATAAGTTACCAAGAGAGGACCCTAATCACACATTAAAAAAAAATATTCATGCAAATGTATTAATAAAAATAATATTCTTTCTGTCAGTTTTAATATTAATATTTGTTGACTCATCTTTAAGGCTCAAGTAAGGATAATCTTAAGTGAAACATTTCCCTTGTGRCCAAGTGTTAGGCGATTACCCCTCAGTTCAGGAGGATGTTGTAAACCAAACATCTTGAATCTGTTTTTTTTTTTGCATAATTTTGAAAAATGTTCTACTTGATTTGAATACTAACGATAACAAAAACTCAAAAACAATTTATTGTGGTGTACAAGACCCACAAAATTGATTTGATATTGATAAGCAATATTGATGTAAATTCATGCATTATTCATATACCTATCTAAMAACTGGTTTCACACTATATTACCAACTGAACGTAATTTCTCAATTCAATTTCAAGCTAATTATATTTTTCAACTTCATCCATTTTCTCTTTGATAACTCTTCTAAATAAACCTAGACTACTAACTGAGCCACCTATATGTCCAGCATCCACATATTCCACTTGACTTCCTGGCCAAATTGCTGTTGGTTCATCAACATACTCCCTTGGAACGTAAGCATCCCTATTTGCTGCTATAAACTTTGCCAGCCTTGGTTCACAAGGGCGAGGATAGTTCTTTAAATGTGTAGCTCTATCCATAAGAAGATTCATAAACATTACAGTCTCTGGATTGATTTTTGATGTCTTGTTTGTGGGTTTTCTGGTTTTTAAAGGCGGAATGTAATCTAAGATTACATCTCTCATACTGTGTAAGATATGTGAGCTTTCCAATGACACTGTTTGAGACTGGTTTBTGACTTCATTTGTTTGAAATAAGTGCATATTATGATCACTCTTATCAGGTTTTGGATGATGGATTTCACTGTCTTTTACAGAGTAAGCAGTTTTATGCAGCTCATTGGAAAATAAGTTATTTTCTTTGACTTCTGTGCCTAAGCTGGCAATTTGAATGATTTCATTTCTATATTCCTCATCTTTAAGCTGTTGTTCAAGTTTCTTCCATGGTAGGGAATTCTTCATTAC